TGAAATGGCCATCTATAATTACACGGGATCAACTGCCAATTATGATGAAACGTCACCCGACATCCTTCACAGAACTTGCAGCTTCCGGCCGAGCTGACATCGATATTATTAGCCTTTGATACCGTATCAAAGAGACAGCTAACTAGTTTAAATATAGCTTCAAGTTACAGAGGTGTTTCCTCTCTCTATCGAAGTGTATTCAGTAGTACCTTTATTTTTTTATGGAATAGGAGTCAAACGACTAGACGGATCACCTGATGGTAAGTGATTAGCGCCACCCATGGACACCCAAAACATCAAAGGAGACACAGGTGTGTTGTCGGCCATTTAAAAAGGAATACGCTCTTTTCTTGAAGGGTTACTGACATAATGTGTTTGAAATGACACAGAACTTAGTAGATAATTTTATTGTATCTTAAAAATATTTTGAACCGTAGTGCTATTCATGTATTATGTCTATTTGATCATCTCTAATTCAAGAAGTTGAACACAAGTTCAATATTAATTGTACATATATAAAAATGAAACCCTTTTACCGTTGTCACGCCACAACTTGAGAATGGCTGAACCGATTTGGCTGATTTTTTTTGTGTTTGTTATTGTTACGAGAAGGTTCTTATGTTAAAAAAATTCTGAAAATCTTATGGGAACGGGAGAAAACGGGATTTCGCGTACGAAGTCGCGGGCAGAAGCTAGTTATAAATATTTTATTTAGTTCTTGCGATTTTTTATTTCAAAAAGGATATTTTTTTATTAGATATTGTTGAACCATGCTCCAAAATTTCTAAATATGACTTCATTTAATAAGTTCATTTACATCTCACGACTTAAGACAATGGAGCCGTTTAATCCCATCTAAGATTACGTTCTTCGTTCAAAATTTAAATATACTCTTCTAGATATTAACGGGTGAAACAAAATATTAACAGGAGACATTGTATTATTTTATGTAACAATCGAAATTGATATTACTTTGACCAGAAAAAAATACCATTTCAATGACTGGTATCAGTGAAAATCGTTACTCAATGTTTTAGATTAAGGATAAAATACATTTTCCACACAAATAAAAACCTAACCACGCAAAGAAGAGAAATGAACTAACAAGAACTAATAAGAACCATAGTTCTTGTTCTCTTCTCAACTGTAAAGAACTAACAAGAACCGTAGTTCTTGTATCTCTTATACATAGTCTAATGTTGCAATTAATACTAAAGTTAATATGCCACTGCCACCGCCAGTCTCAGTTAAAATAACTAAAATATCTTCCTTCAACAGACAACAGACAGTAAATAAATACATAATCCAACGCTATCTCCAAGACAATTGTTTGTGCAATTGCTTACATTCCATTTAGTTCAAGCCATGAATAACGTTCTATATAAAACAAATGAAGAAAGAAATGGAATTCTTCATCCATTTCTAATATTGAATCCTTTACGACAATAATGCTCATACTAACTACTGGATAATAAAAGAATGGATGGTGATAATGAAAAGACTATTTCGATTGTCTAGAGGTCATCAAATTTAGTTGAGCGAAGCGTAAATAATTGTATATTCGCTGTTCAATAAGTAAATACAAGAAGAAGAAGTTTGTTTTTTCATCATTGAATGACTTCACCCGCCTGGGTGAGGCGAGAAGGAGTGTCAGACTCTTACTGACTAAAAACCACCCCATTCCTACTCCTGAACTTCGAGCCGGAGCCCCGGCAACCCGTTAAGTTCTCCGCGGCTAAGACGTTTGTTTGAGATGCATATCATAAAGAATAGTGTTGATATTTATGTATGTATAGAGATCGATAGGCTCAGTAATATATGTACCCTGGTAGCAAACATAGGCCATCCTAATAATATTATAAATGCGAAAGTTTGTATTGTATGTTTATTACTCATTCGCGTCAAAATGGCTAAAGGGATCGAAATGAAATTTGAGACAGGCGTAGATTGTGGTCTAGACTAGAACATAGGTCACTTTTAATCCAACAGAGACGTGGGCGAAGCCGTTGGCAGAAGCTATAGGGATATTTGCATTAGGTAAAATGACATCACGGTAATATTTTTAAAATCATGCCAACTATACAATGTGGAACAAAAATGTACCTATTTCATACGCAGTATTAAAGAAAAGATAAGAAAAAATAATTCCTACCGCAAAAGGAACCCACAAAAGCGTTAAAGGAATAAAATAATATTAAAGACACACGTGTACCGGGTAGTAATCGCAAAGCTGTGCTCTTGGCCGGTTACACTAGTTTTTGGAAAAGGAGATAATCTTTTGTGATGTTAAAAGGGATCATAAAAAGAAACTAGTTCGCCTTGGTTCTGTGTAGTTAGTTCTAATAACTAGATAGATAGAAAGGAACAGTGTTCGAGATTGGGAAATCATTTAACGCTTTTGCAGCTGTAGGGTGTACTTATCTAGAAATTGTATTTGTAAATGCAGTCACGACACAGAGAAAATTCTGAGATGGGGTTACGTTTAAAAAAAGCAAAAATAACTTTGTAATTACAGCCCATCGCCTAATGGTCGAGATTCAGCCATATTTCCCATGCAATCGCACCTCTTGGAAAATAATATTTATTTATTTAAAATATTTCATGTACAAAAATCATATATGCCATGGCATGGATGGCATACCACTAATACCTTTGCGCTAATCTCCGAAACTCCTGGTCCGATTTGAAAAATTCTTTCTTTGTTGGATAGCTCATTTATCGAGAAAGGCTATAGGCTATAAAATATCACGCTACGATTAATAGGCGCCGAGCAGAGCGAAACCGCGCGGAAGTAGCTAGTAATATAATACATGTCTAGCATATGAGAGTGTGTCAAGACCTATTAAAGTGTTAGTATCTTAAAGATCCTGCTTGGTATATACTCGTAATTTTCGGAAAAGGGGCACAAAATTGTTGCTTGAAGTATTAAAGATACATTGTAAAGAAGGTCAATGCTCAATAAAGTAGACTACATAGATAACATGAAATAATTAGACGAATAAGTAGCTGAGTAACTGTGAAATTAAAATTGGTGACAACAAAAAATGTGTTGTAATTATGTATGTAGATGACTTTGATAGGTTTTTTGATTGAGACCGTGCGCCAATTTTGTATTGAACAAAAAATATGCTAAATAATTACTCGATTAAAGGTAGTAGTTTTATTGTAATGTATTTTTTACAAAACAGGAACGTGTACAACAGAAAGATATTTGCTTATGGAACTGGACTGAACTTTTTTATGGGTTAAGCCTTATCACCTGATGGTAAGCAATCGGCGTCACCAATGTACATTTGCAACACCAGAGGCGTAACCGGCCTTTTAGAAATTAGGAATTTGAGGATTGTTAGGAATTCAGAGATTGAGGAGTTTGGAGAAGGGGGAGGGGATAATTGGACCTCTAGTAACCTCACTCATACGACGATATACAACGCAAGCGTTGTTTCACGTTGGTTTTCTGTGAGGCTGTGATATCACTTTGGTCGAGCCGGCCCGTTAGTGCCAAAACATACTGTCCCACACTTATAATTGCAGTAAGCTTGTTATCTGACGAAGGATTACAAAAAAATACAAAAGGGGAGGAAGATTGACGTCCAGACACTATGTTTTCACCCAGACAGACTTATTAAACAGTCCTGAAAGACACGCTAATAATGAAACCGTTACCAGACTTTATTGGATGACGCGGCATTGTTGCACAATAGCACCACGACGGAACTCTAATTAGGATCAAGTAAAGTCGGGAGAGTTTATTATTTCGTTGCGGATTTAGACTTTTTCTTTTTGACTTAGATGAACGCAAGATTCCTTTTGTTGCTGTTGTTTATTTACATCAACATATTCTACATAATTCTACTTAACAATGTATTGTGGATTTTAATGCGTATATTGGGAACGCTTGTGTCATTGGCCAATGTCCATTTAGAAAGATAGGCGTGGCTACCGCTCTATTGCTATGGTACACAGCTTCTATGATATTTGTATATTATAGTTATCTAAATCCCTTTACTTGTTAGGAAATATTAACAAGCATTTAGCCATCCAACCACAAGAAGCGCTTCGCATCAAGGTTCCTAGTGCGTACTGCTAAGGAGTGGAATTCTTTGCCAGAGTCGTTGTTTCCTAAAGGGATAACCTGGGTGTCTTTAAGGCCCGAGTGAATAGATTGCTTATGGGCAGATGGGCTCCATCGTAGGTCGCATCATTGCTTACCACCAAGCGAGATAGTGGCCAAACTTTGTCTCATCAAATATATACCTAAAAACTCATCATCAGGATCTTCATAAACTTTCGCAATTTTAGTAGGGCGATGTCATTAAAATGTGATAAAGATCTTTATCAAAACAAAACGCTATCAGACTACTGAATTACGATAATCTATATAGGCAGATAGATATTCAGAATCAAACATGTAGTTAAAACTAGATTTTTCTTTTATTAGACTGTTGGTCATTTGAAATATCGCAGTTTAAATTCACGAGTGTTAATTTAAGGTATAAGGTAATTAATTTAACTACATAGTATCGGCACGAAATTAACAACCTGTCATTGAATATCTCTAAATCCTTTGTACATATTGTAATTACTTTACAAGAACACTGAACGTATCTCGAAGGTATTTTCAAACACAATGTTAGATCTTCGAAACTATTTATTAAACGAAAATGTTAATTTGTATACACACGTATTTTTACCTTCACATCTGGCAGTCAATAACCGAGTACATACGTCAATAGATTTGAGAAGCTTCAAAAAACCGTACCGTTATTGATAACACCATAAATCGAAAGAAAATTATTTATAATAATAATGTTGCTCTATCAAGTAACACGAGAAGCTGTACTCTAAATGAAGTCATGTGATTGTAATTAAAACACGAATCAGCGTTCATTAGTAGTGCCGCAAGTGACGGCCCCGAATTAATTGGTAGCTAGACATGCGATAAAATCTTAGAGAAAGAACTTGTTCGTACTGCCCACGGCTGGTCTGAATCAACTCACCAATGACATATGAGTATCCGTCGAGCGTGAGCACGCATTTCCTGGTCGCGCCCGACGCAGATCGATGCCTGTGCGTCCTTGGGGCGGCCCCAAGAGCGCGCCCACCACCAGGATCGCTATGGCATTTGTGCACCAGCTCCTTATCATTAGCCACGTTTGTTTTGCCGTCGACAGAGCCCTGTCTGCTGCCCTCGAGCAGCACTTTCCCTCGCCTCATCATCACATTATATGCTATCTCCGCACTAACAATCACAAACACTTCGTCACTGAATCACGTCACCACGTTCACTAAACACTAGTTCACTAATCGATCATTCAAAAATTCAGATATGTTTATGTTCAACACTATGTTTTGATATGGAACAGCACTCGCGTAAATTAGGAGTTTGTTTTAGACATTTTCATTGCTCGCCGACCTAAGACTAATAAACTATGATTTATTACTAAAACGGTGCTTTATTTTTTGATGCAGGTTCACAGATAGGATTGAAACTTTACGTTGGTCGCGATTTGGAACGCAACTCGTTTATAGTTCCATCAAAGTAAGATTAGGTAAACTGGATTCGGTTTGATAGTAAATGAGGTAAGATTACGTATCATCGGTTCATGATTAGATCAGTTATAACTTATAATTATTCGATAACAATCATGTGTTGATTTGCAATTATTGAGAAGTGATTTATCAAACATTTGGTTCACGATCAATGCGTCCTGATATAAATAATTATTTACTGCTTTGCCAGTTCAATGAAGCTAGACTATTTTGATTCGATCAACACTGTGGTGTAATTTTTTCAATGTTTATGTTATGAAAATCGTTTGCTTTGAAGACGTAATTATCACCTGATGGCTGATTAAACCTTGAACTTGAAGCTGCTGTTACTACATGAATGACTACATCTCCAGTTATTTTAACAACTGTTAATTCGTAATGCTCAAACAGTTCTTTGTTAACAAAGATGAACAAATCTTTGTTGTTGTAATTAGCCGTCAATTTAGCGTTTACAAATTAACAACAGTTGGTACTAAAGAGTACGTCACATGTTGCTTACATTTTTTTCAAATCTACGTACGCGGGAATGTTGAGTTTTTGAACTGATCGTAATTTATTTCCACTTCTGTTAGACCTCGTAGAATGTTTGGTTCACCGCAGGTGGAAACACGGAAATCTATTTTGAAACTACGAGTGTTGTTTTTCCGCCATAGTAACGCAACACAGGGCACCCATAAAATGTTGCGTCATGACCCACGGGGGTGGTCCCCCCTCTTGTAAACAGATTGTGACGCTGTCCACTGGACTATGCCAAATCGCGACCAACAGGTGGTTTCCTTCCTAAATTCACGACAACAAACCGAACTTTGAACTCACTTTATGTTACACCTGAAGTGGGGAATAATTTTGAATTTTGTGTCGGTTAGATATGTTCGGACATGTTCGGACGGAGCGTTCGGAGAGCGGTGAGCGGCATGACGGGGCTACCGAACCGCGTGGAAGCCTGCGCGCGACTGTCGCTCGCTCCACATGATCCGCTACAGGTAGCTCCTCATTAGTGCCTAGCACTCAAACTTCCAGTGCCAAATCCCCGGGACATTAAGCGTCGAGCTTTGTGCCATCTGTTTTCTTGAGTTCCGAATGTTGTGACATTGCAATTGGACTGTGTGCTTACTGATTGCTCTAAAAGGAATGAAAAATTTAATTTAGATCTTCTCAAATTTCCTGGCACGGTTACGTTTGTCACAAAAATTCGTACGAACAAAATTAGATTCACGTAAGTTATTATTAAAACGATTACATGTATTGTAATTATGAATGAAAATTATAGTTTGATTTTCTTGAACTCAGTATCTTACTTTAGATTTTTGTAAATGAATGAAAAATAATAGAAAATAGTTACAAGAGATCTTTCTATTAGAGCTGCTTCGCGCAAAAAAGATATTTGGGTCAACTTATGTAGAGGTATTATCATGACACGAATTACGATACCATGAATATTTTTGCTTCTTATTAAGTATTTTACAAATAATTAAACATTAGTGACATTCTTTTGTATATAATAATAAATTGTAGCTGTAAGTTTTCTAAATGTAAAAATAAAATAAAATTCTTATCAACTTAAACTTTTTTTATGCTTTTTAACTTAATCGTTAAAAGGAGTATCTTAATATTTTTCTTAAAAAAATTGCAAACATTCGTAAACATATACATATAATTTCATTAAAAATTTTAGAATAAAAAAAAATATCATTCTGTGGAACCATTACGTAATAGATTATAGATTATTAATTACTAGCTTTTACTCACAGCTTTTCATTCCTGTTATATAATGGGAGCATTTAATCGGGACAGAAAGTATTCTATCACTTGAGTCCCTGCTTGTATACCAAATTTCATCAAAATCCGTTCTGTAGCTTCAGCGCGATTGACGGACAAATACCCAAACATCCAAACAGATAAACTTTCACATTTATTATACATATTAGTGTAATTCTGTACTCACTTTCCAATATTTATTTTTTAAGTCCCATGTAATACGGGGGTGAGCCTATTGCCATATATCGGGCACAATTCCAGACTCCGTGCTACTACTGAGATTTTTTTTGAAAACCCCAGCAATTATGCTTTGTCCGACCCGAGACCCCTTTCTCGGCATTATCACCTTGTGCCCACTCGGTCAACGAGGCACTCATTAGTGTAATTATTAATATACTTTCCTATGTGATTTTAAAATAGAATGGGTAAATGATCACACAAAAGAAAGCGTTCATAATTACAAATCGACATAACACTACAGGGTAACAAATCGACAACTTGTTAGTAAGTCAAATAAGAAGAAAAAACTCGGAATAAAATTTGGGAAAAACTAGAGAAGTGTGACAATTTGTGAGAAAATAAATACGTTAGTATTGTTCGTATATAGTTTTGATGTAACAAGATGAAGTAGGGACAGGCTAACAAGTTGATGTGACTGTTACACTTGAGCGAGTCCTTTTGTTTGGACCTTCACCTTGAGGCCCTTGGAAAGCAACTTAAGGGACGCGTGAAACGGAATGACTAGTGTTGGTATAGTGAAGGGAGTTTTGTTTTATATTTTGATTCTTTTTGGCAGAAAATTCTAAGGGTATGGGTATCATTTTCCTTCTTCTAAACGAAATTAGGCTTCAAACGAAACTAGTTTCACTAAAGTTGATTTCGATGTTGTGAAAATTAATTAATAAAGATATTATTATGCTATTGAATATAATGTACTAATTATTGGCGCTGCACTATCTTGCATTTTCTCACGAATTTTTAAGCATAATGAGGTTTTTTTTTAAATTAATTATTATACTTTTTGTTTTATTGCTGCGTCATCGCTTACCACCACCTGAGATAGTGGCTAAACGTCCGGTACAATATTTTTTTTATAATAATGTTTTTTAATGGATTTTTTGGTGCTTACAATTTGCTATTGTCCTCCTTCGTTTGGTTATCATAATCAATAACAAATGTCGCTTTATTAAAAAACAAGATTTTAATATTATCGTAAGTAATTTTTGTCATAGTTAAACTGATAAGTGGTAACAAGATTTGTTATAAGATATGTAAAAATTGAGCATTGAAGTGGTGAAAAGTAAAATGGAATAAAATGGATAGCGCTGTTTCGTAAAATACAATCGTCCTTTTATAATTGAATTTTAATAACTACATCAATAGGTTTAAAATAGACTGTACCGCATAATATGTTTTATTTTAGTTACGGTATTTGGCAACGGTCGATAGCAATTGTTATGTAAGTACTTTCAAATTCTTATCAAGGTGTTATAAATAATCCTAAACAATGTTGCTCTGCTCTACATACGAGATACAAATTCCATAAATGTTGAGAATATCTCTCATTTACAGTTAACGTCAATCAATAAAGTATTAAATACAATGCTTTTAATCTTCGCAAAAATCATTAGTCAGAATAGGATAGTTTCTTACACTTTACTTTGACTCGTCGAGTACCGTACTTTTGTAGACACAATTATAGAACAATAGGTTGCGGTCACCGGTGACCGCTTGGTGTTTGACAGTTTAATGTCCATCTGGTAAATTAATTTAAAACATTAGACCCGTATTTTTTCTTTTCTCACAAAATGTAATACTTTCGACGATATTTTTTTTAAATATTGCGTGACGTCACTGCGTGCTACATTTTGAACCACGTTGTGACGTAACGATCTCCCACTCTTAAACTTAACGATATTTTATCTAAGTATTGTAACGAGAAAATAAAAAAATACGTGTCTAACATTTTTTCACTATCTAACTGACGGACTTAATAAATTCCTAATTTCCATAGCCTGGCAACTAAATACCCTATAGGAATCATATCAGCCATAAAATGTCCACCGCTGCACACAAAACTCCCCCATAAAACTAAACTAAGCTTTCATTAAGCTAGTAATAATCCTCTATAATTATTACCTTACTCACAAATGCAACTGAAAAATCATACCAAATTACGAACACAGCATGCAACATTTAAAAAAAACACGATGTAACATAAGGCTACGTTCACATTCGCGTTAATTGGATCAGCAGTAAGCCGTAGTTCGCGTGACGCGACGCATTTCGACCCGGCACGGCAACAATTTGTTTTATCGTTGCACAAGATAAACCCGGGGTTGTGGAAATTCCCCATCATTTTATACTAGTCCTTATTTTATTTTTTACTCGTTTTATGTTGTTGTTATTTTAAATTTATTTTACGGCGTTCCGTGTTCGTAGGCTGTGCAGAATGTTGGCAATGTGAAATTAATCTCTTTTAAGTCCTTTTATTTTTGTGAATATTTAAAAACAAGGGTTGAAATTAAAATATTGTGTTCATAATTTTAAAACAATTAATGAATAAGATTTTTGACTTTAGTGTGCCGTATCATGCGCAATAATGTTGTAAATTGGTACAAAAAAGAAACTCTTCAGCGCTGAAGAAGATTTTAAAAGTCAGAACAAACATCAGTCTCATAATTCTTTAGTGGATATGGAGATAATTTAATGAAAAAACGCTTCACTTTCCACCTGGAAAGATGATGTAGCATTCAGCGCCATGAAGTCATTTCAGAACACAAATTCTTACGAAAAAGAACGAGTAAGAAACTCTATCGTTTCTCATTTTTAATGATAAATAAACAACAAAATAAATACACGTGCGTGTTTCCAATACGGGTCTAATGATAAATATCTATCAGTCGAAACATAATAAATCAATTCTATTGAATCACAAATGTCAGACGTACAAGTTCCGGCGAAGTTGGGCACGCGATAAGTGGAATTCATCGATATAAACATCGATTTGTAGTGTAATCGATTGTTAGGATCATAAATTACTCAATAATTCTTTGTATTAGGTCAATGACTTTTGACTGTGTCGAATGAGCTGTTGCAAGTGTTACAGCTAAAAAATTGTCTGATTCTAGGATCGGTAAAATATGCAGCGCTGTTTAACTGTTTATGCTACAATAAGGATGATGACAGGGATGATGATAGTAATAAAAAAATATTAGACACGTATTTTTTTATTTTGTCGTACAACAAAAGAATACTTAGATAAAACGAATCAAAGTTTAGGAGTGGGGGCTAAAACGTCATTTCTACGTATAAAATGTACATAGAAGTGACATCACACGACATTTTAAATCAATATAGCGACGAAAGTATCCGTTTCTATAAGAAAACTAAACATACGTGTCTAACGATTTAAAATAATCTACCAGACGGACATTAAAATAAAAGTTAGGCATCTACCCTATTGCCAACGCTCGTACTCACACGGAGATTTTATTAAGCAAATCTTGAGGAGTCGTTTAGGCCGATGTTTAACTGTTGCACATACCCACCCAGCTGTTCATGATATTGTTGTAGATGATGCAGGCACTGAAATAGGTATTTTTTTTTAAGGGGAGAAAATCATTAAATGACTGCTCCCGCCTGGGTGAGGCGGGAGGGAGTGTCAGACTCTTACTGACTAAAAACCACCCTGTTCCTTCTCCTGCACGTCGAGCCGGAGCCCCGGTTACTCGTTAGGTTCTCCGCGACACTGAAATAGATATACGGTGATACCTTTGCTTTTTATTCACAAAATAATCGAGACTTAAATTGTAATCTATGATAAATTTCTACACCACTGTTTTGGGAAATACTTCACATGAACGAAGTTATTGGGTCGGACTTTCAGGGATCTCCTCGGATCAAATACTGAACATTCTCAGTGGTATGTAATTTGGGTTTTGATTGTAACTAGTTTATGCTAATAGGCGTGATCATTATTTTTTAGGAACTGGAATGTTATGCACTCATAAGTATGGATCTTCATAGAGATGCAGAGATATTTACGACGCTACATAATTACGTTCATAGTGCCTAAAAATTCGCAATAAAGATATTACATAATGTGACTTCAACAGACTAATGCTTATACTGATGAGTAATTAGCCATCATCATGTAAATGCCCACTGCT